TTCATCTCGGCGCAGCTGTGAAACATTTTCTGGTGTGCTTTCTTGGAAGGGGGGATAAAGTCAGGGCTGACGATATCAGGGTAATTACTCTGATTTCAGGGTGATTACAGGCTTATGACTTGGTGGTCCCTGCAAACACAGGTTTTGTATTTTGTGAACTCTGATCCTATCAGAGTAGCTACTTAACGGACTCTGAATTCTTGTAACTAGGCTCAGGGTAGTGTACTTGCCGAGTCTGTCAATGCAGAGTATGCGTTCCGTGGACCCTGAATGCGAGGGTATTGGGACGAAGTTTCCTAGAAGTTTCGTTTCGATAACCCCCTTGTGCGTAATCATTTCTTCGAGTGGCCCCATCTGAGGTACATCACTCACGCGCCCGTGAGTGACGTAATTCCGACAAAGGACACCACTTACGTGCTGTACATCACAGCTGGCAACCACGCCAACGCAGCCAACTCAATGAGACGGTGCAGCCACGCGCACCGCACAGTGCACAGCATGTGTCTGCCATTGGCCAGAATGGTCTGTAGACAGCATGCGGTGGCAGCCTAGGAGTCCGTGAATGAATTTGGCCTTGAATGCAAGGACGAATTCATCTAGGAATGTTGCCATCAAGTCCGTGGAATCGCGGCGCGGTGGTTTCGTGCTCCCGCCATCTCCAACCTCCCCTTCCCTCCCCATACCAGCAGCCAACGTTCCTTTGTTCACTAGTGTGTTATTTCCATTACGTGCCTTCATTGTCCCATTTTTCTCTCGTTCAGTTTAGCCACCAATGGAGGCCATGCCGGCCGACGAAGCTGCTCCGGACACTGGCCCCGACGAGCCGCCTGTAAGAGCGAAAACAACAGCGCCGTCCCAGCCGGAGAAAGCTTCGGATGCTCCCCGCTCTGGGCTAGATTTTATTAGATCTACGGCTGCTCCCGTCACACCTGAACCGCCTAGGTCTACCGTTCACGATTCTGCCCTTGTAGTAACCCCTACTCCTACTGCTTCTCCTATTCCCGTCCCGTTCACTCTGCCTCCGGCTGTTGCTGGCTGCAGCAAAAATCCTCCACCGCCCTCGCCCAGTCTTACTCCAAGCACGGTGCGGGTGTCCGTTGGCCTGCCGTCGGCTACTTCCGCTCCCAAGCGTGCGCGATCTGGAAAGTGGGCGCAGAGTACTCTGCTGGTGGGAGGCCGCCGTATTCCACCGCCGGAAAAGCCCGATGAGCCTGCACAGGAAGAAGTTGAGCTGCTGGAAGAAGGTGACATCCCGCTGCACGCGGATACCGGCTCACCGGCACTCACCAAGACGCAGCTGCGAGAGCAGATGTACCTGGAGGCGAGTATTAATTACGAGACGAAGTGGGCTGGATACTTTTCCTGGCTTGTGTTCGGGAAAACCAAGGACGGTTTCCCGTACGTGAAGTGCAGCGTCTGCATGTCGTACGGTAAAGGGAACACGAGGTACGCCATGCATGGAGACGACGGAGGCCGTGACTTGCAGACGCAGGCGTTCCGGGCGCACGAGCATATGGAGGCACACATGGCGGCGGTGGACCGCCAGATGAAGATTGCGGCGGGAATCCGCGAGGGTCAGCAGGTGATTTCAGACTTCATCAACTCCGACGTCGAGGGCCGCCGCGAGATACGGCTGATGCGGTCGACTCTGTTCCTGTGCCAGTGCGACGCGCCGATTAGCATGTTTCCTAAGCTGATGCGGCATCTTGCGGAGCAGGACACGCTAGACATTCCCCGGCAGTCGTACGACGTTTATCTCACGAGGTTAGTGACGGTTCAAATTGCTTGCAAATTTAAACATGCACGTCAAACAACTTGCTTGACTATCGTGTACTGATAATTTCTCTGTCCTTTGTTGCAGCTACAGCTTCCAGCAGATGGTCCACAGCATGAGCACTTACCTCACCCGGGTGCAGATGGACCACGTCTTAGCATCACCGTTCCTGGGCATCCAGTGCGACGAGAGCACTGACCGCACGCGAGGGAAACACATGATTGTGTACCTTACATATCTGAAGAACCGCCAAGTTGCATGCGAGTTTTTCACTTTGCTGACGGTCGAGCGGTGTGATGCAGGGTCCTTGTTTGAGGTGCTGTTGAACCATCTTCGCTCCGCTGCCGTCGATGTGTCCAAGATCGTCAGCATCAGCACGGACGGGGCGTCGGTCATGACCGGGAGAGAGAACGGATTGGTGGCGCGTCTACGTGAACACGTCCCTCATCTGTTCTCATACCACTGCATCGCCCATCGGTATGTGAGTTGATCAATATTGTAGCATGTTATCTACGATGATTGGATTACTAACAAACCATAATATTTGTTCCCTGCTTTACACAGTGAGGCGTTGGCTGTGAAGGACGCCGCTGAGTCAAACCCGGATCTCGACATGGTCGACAAGGTGGTGCGCACTGTGGCGACTCTGCTCGGAAACTCCAGCGTGTGGAGTCAGCGGTTCAAGTACCTGCAGCGTGTGATTTACAAGACCAACCTGGAAGTCCAAGGCATACACACGGTGCGGTGGCTGTCTCGAGGAGATGCGGTGGCCAGGCTGTGCAAGGTCCTCGGCGCTTGCATCGTTCTGCTCTGGGAGCACAATCACAAGGCGTATGAGATTGTCAGCTGCTACAAGTTTCAGTTCTGCTTGTTTTTCTTGGCCGACATCTTGGCGGACATGAACGGCCTCAACCGCTGCTTCCAGAGACGAGAGGTGAGGTCGCATGTTTGTATGATGTTGCTACGTGAGGTTCGTAACTGCACTGTTGCTCATCCTTCTCCCTCTTGTCTACCCCTGCTCTGCCACAGCTGGACGTGACAGAGATTGCGAAGATGATCGAGTCCACAACGAGTGACCTGGTGGAGCGCTACTTGACGCCAGAGAAAGCTTTCGGGGGCGAAGGGAAGAGCTGGCTGGTGACCTTCCTCAAAGTCCACAAGGAGGGTGGAGGCAAGCAGGTCCGGGTGCGCGGCGTGGACGGTGCTGGGCGCCCGATCAACCACCTGTACACCATGCATGAGCGGAAGCTGAAGGGGCACAAACACGGAAGCACCTACGCAGACTGCGTGAAGCTGTGCCGCAAATTCGCCCGTGACTGCGTGGACAACCTCACCAACCGACTGGATGACCTTGGGAAGCTGGGGCCGACGAAGCTGTTCCGGGCGGGCAAGTGGCCGAAGATCAAGGCCCAGCGAGAGAAGAAGTGTAAGGAGTGGCTGAACGGGTGCAGCAAGTTGTTCCGCAACAAGCTGCCGGGATTCGACATCAAAGCAGCAGAGAGGGTGCTTCCAACCTTCTGCGCGATCATGGAGGCACACCATGAGATGGAGAGCTTCACCCAGGGCCTGTCCAACTTCCTTGGGAGCGCAGACTCCAAGAAGTAGCCTTTACTTTGCGTCCATGGGTTTTACAATCTTGTTGATTGCTAGCTAATTCCGTTGTGTTGTGTGTACGCATGTGCCTGGCAGGAGATGGCCCAACCTCATCCTGCTGTGGCAGGCGCTGGCTGTGCTCCCTCTCTCCACCGTGGAGTGCGAGAGGGGGTTCTCCACGCAGAACGTCATCAAGTCCTGGGTGCGAGGAGCGCTGTGCAACGCGCGTCTGGGGGAGCTGATGCAGATTTCGCTCAAGTATGAGATCGACTGGCCGGAGGCACTGGAGGTGTGGAGGTCCCTGCGTACTAGGCGCCCTGCGAAGAGCTTGAAGCTGGCTGTAGCAGAGAGGGAGAGGAAAGGGAAGCAGAAGGAGGGTGAAGATGTGGCTGCTCGAAATGCCCGGGAGAATGAGGATGAGGAGGAAGAGGAGAAGGACGATGAAGTGGAACAGGCCTTTGACGACGATCAAGAGATTATGGGGGAGGAGGAAGTGGAGGACAATCCATTCCTGTCGGACGATGAGGATGTGGAGGAGGTGTACTTCATAGACAAGCCCGTGCACTAGACTAGATAGAGTAGGAAACTGCATGCACTTGTCTTATTTAGGAAAATATTGCATTGTTAATAGCAACCCTGTTTTTGAGCTGTGAACCCTGTCCGGTCAGGGTTGGACTTCGTGTGACACTGAGCTATCAGGGTAGCTACCTTGCGAAAAATGTGCCCTCATAATAGAGGGTCAAATTTTTTACTGGAATCAGGGAGTCTTAAAACGAAACGTCAGCCCTGGAGAAAGTGCTTTGCACTGTTCTTTCCTTGGCGTTTTTCTTGGTCCTTTCTGACTTTGTCAGGTTGCGTCAGCACGACGGACGATCGCGATCACACCGACACGATCAACGGTCCTTGCTCAATCGCGTTTGAATTCGCGTCAGCAGGTTCCCTCCAATCTCGCGTCAGTCTTCGACCGTCAGATCCACATCTGCTTCATCGACGGCCTACATTCCAACCTTCTCAAAATTTTTGTCAAAGGCATTTTCGGCCGTCGGATTCAGCTGAAGAGGAGATATATGTAATCCTCGCTAGTGTGGGGCCTGTTTCAGTACAGGACTGCCTTATTTAGAAGGTGGGAGAGTGTAAGGATTTACAGAATCCTTACTGGGGCACTCGTTAGCGAGGCCATCCCGAGGGTCACGCGACGAACCTGTCCTTCCTATTTCGTCGCACCGAACCACTCCCGAGTCGCCTCCGCACCAATCGCAACCATCACCGAGCCACCCTCGCCCAACCTCTCCGCCTAGCTAGGACTTCCCCTATTTAGTCGTGCTTTCCTCATTGTATCGTCATTCAATAATTCAGTAATCAGTTCATTCTCGTTATTAGATATTCTGCGCACTCTGCAAGTTCATTCATAACAATTGTAATGCAAATAGGAGGTCTGTTCACTGGTGATCCTTTTTGTCAACAACGCGTCACTCTTCCCCCATCTCTGCTGCAAATTTGAGTGAATTAATTCAAAAGGCTTGAGTGGATTTGTTCAAACGCTTCAGTGTCATGGATCATTGTTCTCGTAGACCTTGCACTTGTCGCGGATATTTGGAACGGATTCGAGCGATATCCCCAGCGACTCGTAAATATGCGCGCAGTTCTCCATCGGGTGACCTCCGCTCGAATCGAGGTACGTTATTCGGCGCTTTTCTTCTGGTCCATTCCACTTCCTGAATATTTCGAGTCGTTTTCTTTGATCAACCCGCCTCCGCTCCTGCCATGTTGTTGTCCCTGGTTACCATCGTGTTTCGTCCTACGAGATACACCTTTGAGCCTTTCGCGCGTAACACCTTTAGCATTTGATGGCGGAATTCGTTTCGCCCTTCTTACCGTATCCAAAGGAACATCTCCCATCTTCATTGTTCTCAATCCTCGTCTTCCGCATTGCCCGCGTCTCCCCTCACCCGTCTTCTCTAACTCTTCCCTCGCTTGAAGGCATCTTGAGGAAGCGTGTCTTTAAGCGTGTTTCGTTAAGGGAGTCCCCGTACCTGCCTATGCACCTGGCTACCCCCTGCTTTCTCCTACTTCGCAGGTGGAGGGCCAGAAGGTGGCGGAAATAGGTCCGGGTTTGCTGGTGCTGCTCGGATTGCAGGAGGGTGACACTGAAGATGATAGCCAACAGATGTATGGCGCAGGATGGTGCATGATGGTGTATGGTCAATGGTACATGGTTCGCACATGGTGCACGTGTCAGTATGCGCCGCTAGTGATGTTTGTTGGATCTGTCTGTGCGTAGTATATGCTGTTTGTGGGAGCTGGCGAATGTTACTGAGAAATGCTTTGACTGTAGTTCATGACGTGCATCCTGTTTTTCCTGCTCCTTATTATCACGATCTTCGTGTCGCAGACGCGAGTCAATCCTCTCCATTCCAATGTGGCCAGGAGAGAAAGGAGATGCAACGATCCGACTCAATGTCTGCCTGCAAGCTCCACTCAATTCTCGCTTCCTCACCCTCTCTTTAGTCTCCCCTCCCTTAAATTGCCTATCTCGTCCATCGTCTAGTTCCGTTATGTGTGCCTTCGTGACTGGTTTGTTCTGGAAACCATGGATTGATGTGATAAGGATGGCCTTGCTTGCATTGCAACGTCATCCACTCTCTAGCGTTTTAGTGCACGTGTTTTTTATGTCTGTTGGCACCCTGCCATCTCTCGTCCTCTCTACTTCGGTGCCTATCAGCACCCTTTCCATCCTCATCCCCCCTCTCCTCTCCCCTTTCATTTCATCAGGTAGTTGAAAAGGGTTTGGACCTACTTGTTGGTACGTATGGATCTTCGTTTCATGCATTGTACAATCGTACCGGTACACCTTGTAATTGTTTTTCACCTTTTTTGGATGCAGTTAGTCAGTTCACCCTTTTTGGTCAGGCGAAGGGAACACGGCTCAATTTCCATGCAGCCATGGCACAGGACAAGGCAGAGCCAGTCTATCGCCACTTCCTCTGCAAGCTGGGTGAGGCATACGACCCAGCACATGTGCATAGTGAGTCTTTGTTCTCTTCCTACAACAATCTATGATGTTGGTGGTGCACATGTAACAACTTCGCAGGTCTTGGTGTTTTTGTCCCATGGACGTTTTGCCCTTCTTACAGATGGTATGTTCGGCATCAAGAGAATGGTGAGCCTCACAGCCCTTGCATTCTCGTTTTCATAGACTGTCAGTAGTCATATTGCTGCGGTTGCTAGGTAGGGAGGGAAGTACCCTGTACAGTGCCGCTTTGAAGTTATTTGACACTTACTGGGGCATTTGCATTTGCAAGTACTGTATGCGTTATTGTCTATCTCTCCCTGGAGTCCGCACCGGTACTTCACACAGGAATCACACCTCCTTTCTCACCCTGAGATCATCTACTCACGCATCAGGTACACATGGTGTGCCATGGACCATTCTCAACCTATATGGACTCACGGACGTCTGTTTGGCAAACAGGGAAATCTGCCATCCAAGGGATATAGCAAATGAAATGAAAACTAGAGTTTTCTGCCATTGGTATTGACAAATCATGTTTCTAGCATGTTCAGACAACTTGGATTTACTAACGTACATACGGTAAGAACTGACAGCTGCCAGTTCAAAAATCATTTCCTGTACACAAATTAACTACATCTGCCCATTAGCACCGACAGCCTGATCGAACCCTCTCTCGTCCGGAGGAAACGCAACCACCACATCATCTGGAGGAAAGAGCGCCTTCAATATGCCCGGAGTTTTCAACAGTTGCCGACCAGAAATCTTGGGATAAACATCCACCAGGAAGTAATACACATGGCCTGCCGCCATTCCCTGGAGAGATACACACAGGCAGCAGAAAAAGGGATAACTGCTGAGACATGTACCACGCATGCATAGCAAAACGAGTGCAAAGCCAACCAACTTAAGCTCACCAGAAGATCAACCACAGGGCTACTTCCAAGAAGAACGGAAAATCCCAAGAGGACCTGCGAGACGATTGAAGCATTGCATACACGTGAGTATGAAGAAGAAAAACTGCAGACACCGTTTTCCTAGCAAGTGGTAATGCATACCCAAGGAAGATAAGGTGCTGTGAAGTTGAACAACCCAAGAAAGCTCATCTGAATATTAGGGTTGCGCCTTCCCCATACGTACACCTGCATTAAGACATCCGTATACGGTGCAAGTATATTCGAGTATGAACAAGAAACTGGAAACCACCGGACTTCGGAACAAACTAGGTCGAAGTACATCCACGCACCATCATGAATGTCAGTGAAGAACCGAGAAACTGGATATTTACGAAGGGAGCAACCATAGTTAACAAGACTCCGCCAAACAGCAGCATAAAGAAGAAATCAGCCGTGCGACCACGGAAAGAGGTCTCCTCAAGCAGTTTACAATATCGGCAGAGGAAGAACATGTGGAAAACGAAATCGATGCCTGCAGTAACACCCGAGACACGGTAAACGAGCTGACAGCTTACAAACAAAGACCTTCAAACTTTGAGACTGTACCCACCAATACTTCCGAAGAAGAAGAAATTCGTAAAGAGCCGCCATAACTGAAACTTCTTGAAGATTAAGTTGGAGTTGAAATACACGGAAAACGGCGAAATGACCTGCAGCGAGGATGCGAGAAATAATTAGGACTCCTAAAGATGAATAACTAGGAAAGCGACCTAAAACAAAGTAAGCCATACTTCGAGAGCGCAACCCGCGGTCGTCAAGAACGATAGTGTCAGGTAAGACCTGGTTATAATGGGCATCTGTTTGTACCAATCTTCAAGAGTCTGCGCCATGGTAGACGACACCGCAAAAAGTGCCGTAAAGAGACGTGGGCAATGGTTATGGAAGCCTCGGGTGGTGATGAGGCGAAAGAACTAGCTCAGCTGCTACGGAATGTGTGCTCCAGGATTCTCTCTCAAACTTGCAAGAGCAACGCAACCTTCAGCACCGAGACCAAACGGCAAAGAAAGCGATGTCAGAGAAGCTTGCAAAGGAGACACGCAGGTGTTGAGGTGACTGACCAATCAAATTCCCTCGTGCGCGTTTCCGCCAATCAAACCACGCATAGCGGACGCGAAGAGAACCTTCAAACGACTCCCCTTCAACAAACTCTGAACCGCTGGTAGGAACAACACTTCAATCCGCATTTATTCCTTGCTGTTACGGGTGCAATGAATCGAAGTAGCGAGAATTGCACTAAGGTGTCAAACGAGTACAAAATGTGAGCGAAGGTATGAGCGAACATTTATACGCGAAACATGCAAAACGGTAACGCGGTGCGTGCGAGCTTGCTAGTGCTACGCTGGAGCGAGGCTCGGGCTAGTCCCGAAGCGTAGGCCGATACGGCCATGCCAGCAGTGCTAGGTTTGGCAAAACAGTGCGCGCGAAGTCGGCGAAGTTCCGTTAGCAGTAACGGGCGAACAATCGGCTGTTGCTGTACGCGATGTAGTCGGCCCCGTAAGGAATGCCGAGAAAATTCCTTACACTACCCCCCCCCCTTTAAGAAGCCCCCTCCGCTACGCGAGTGCGTGTATATCGCGGAATCCCCGACTCCTCAGGTACACTTGCAGGGCAGGGTGATTTTCGATGTTGCTCAGGGGCACCCAGCTATCTTCAGTTGGTGTGCGGTCTTTCCAGCGAACGAGGAATTCAATCCTCCTGATTCCCGTGGGATGGCGGATCCGATGGCTCAGAATTTTGTCGGGCTCGATGATCGGCTCTGATGCAGGGCGAGTCATTGATTGTGGCCGGTGACGCGGCAGTTGACTTGTGGTCGGGATGTATGGGCGGAGTAGGCTGACGTGGAACGAAGGGCTGATGTACCAGTCGGTTGGCAACAGTAGGTGCGCTGTGACGGGTGTGATCATGTGACTGATTTGGAATGGTCCACAGTAGCGCGGTCGTAATTTTGGTACGTCGGGCAGTCGCAGATTTTGCGTGTCAAGCAGCACGTAATCTCCAGATTGGTACGTGACAGGACGGCGGTGGCGATCAGCGTTGCGCTTAGCGATGACGTTGGCCTTTTTTATTGCTTCGGCGGCTCTGGCGCGGGCAGCTTGCAGGATTTCGGCGAATTGTTGTGCACGTGGCGTTGGGTTGTCCCGACTCGGCGTCATGGGCACTGTGGGGTTTTGCCCATAGTTCAGGTAGAACGGGGACTGCTGCGTCGTGGCTGATGTGGCGTTGTTGTACGCGAACTCGATCAGCGGCAGCTGCTGCTCCCAGGTCGTGGGGTCGTCACACGTGGCACGAATCAACTGCTCCATCGTCTGATTCGTTCGTTCCGTTTGGCCGTCGGTCTCGGGGTGGTACGACGAACTGAACTGTAGCCTGGTCCCGAACTGCTCCCAGAGGTTCTTCCAGAAGTTGCTGGTAAACTTCGTGTCCCTGTCGCTGATAATTGCTGCTGGTATCCCGTGCAGGCGAACAACGGCTGCGATGAACAGGCGAGCGGTCTCCTCGGCCGAGATCGACTTTTTGCACGCAGCGAAGTGTGCCATCTTCGTCAGCCTATCCACGACGACCATCACCGCGTCGTTACCCCCAGGGTTCGAAGGTAACCCTGTGACGAAGTCCATGGTTACTTGCTGCCAGGCGCGTTCGGGCGGTGGTATCGGCTGCAATTGACCCGCCTTCCGCTTCCTTGAACTCTTTATCACCTGACACGTAGGGCACGAGCCCACGTGCTGCTGTACGTCGGTCAACAGCTCCGGCCAGTAATAGTACCGCTGCAGTTGCTGTCGTGTTTTTTCTACCCCGAAGTGTCCCGAGGTAATCCCGTCGTGTGCCTCCTGCAGTAGCAGCTCCCTCAGTAGTGGGTACGCGGGTACCCAAATGCGGTTGGTGCCTGTTTTTACGTAATAGACTCCTTTTGCTTCTGCCAGTTGCTGTGAATTTCCGGTCGTAAAAAATGGGTCGGTGCGGTATCCGTGGGTAAATAGGCCAGTTAAAAGTGGGTTGGTCTGGGCGAGTAGGATGGCGTGGAGTTGGGCTGTGGGGCGGGTGAGAGCGTCGGCGATGTTGGATGCTCCTTTTTTGTACGTGATGGTGTAGTGAAAATTGGACTCAAGATAGTCCAACCAGCGAATCTGTCGTGGGTTGAGATTCGGTTGGGCGCGAAGGTACTGTAGCGAGCGGTGGTCTGTCCGTACTGTCACGTCGGCGCCAGTCAGGTAACATCGCCAGACTTTGAACGCGTGCACGATCGCTAGCATCTCGCGGTCGTGTATCGGGTAGTTACGTTCGGGCGGGTGTAGTTTGCGGGACTCGTACGCGATTGGCTGGAGGCCGTTCCCGAAGTCCTGCAACAGTACTGCTCCCACAGCGATGTCACTTGCGTCGGTGACGAGCTCGAACGGACAGTGGGGATCTGCAATGTGAAGGACGGGCGGGGAGCACAAAATGTTTTTGAGGGCCGAGAAGGCAGCTTGCTCTTTCTCCCCCCACGTGTACTCAACCCCCTTCCTCAGCAGGTCGGTCAACGGGGCAGTCAGCTTCGCCATGTCGGGGACGAACCGGCGCACGTAGTTGACGAACCCTAGAAAACTCTGCAACTCGGTCAGGTTGGTCGGCGCGTGCCACGCCTGAATCGTCGCGATTTTCTTCGGGTCGATTTCCACTCCCGCAGCTGAAATAACATGTCCCAAAAACTCCAGGCGGTCCTGTAAAAACTCACACTTAGATGCTTTGGTCAGTAGGCGGTTCTCACATAGGATTTTAAAAACTGCCTCGATGTCGTGTAAGTGCTGTGCTCTGTCAGGGCTGTAAATCAGTATGTCGTCCAGATAAACGATGACGCACTTATCTAAAAGTGGGCGGAATGCTTCGTTCATGGTCATTTGGAAAGTGGCGGGGGCGTTGGTCAGTCCGAATGGCATGACGGTGTATTCGAAGGATCCGTAGCGTGTTCGGAATGCGGTTTTAGGGCAGTCGGGTGGGTTGACGCGGATTTGGTGGTAGCCTCCCCGGAGGTCAATTTTCGAGAAAACCCGGGCTGTGCGCAGTTGGTCGATCAGTTCGTCGGGTCGTGGGATGGGGTAACGGGATTTGATGGTAACCCTGTTCAGTGCCCTGTAGTCGATACACATGCGAAACCCCCCGTCCTTTTTCGGTGTGAATAGTATGGGTGCGGCGAAGGGCGACGAACTAGGGCGAATGAATTCCTTTTCGAGCAGGTAATCGAGCTGCTTCCTC